TAGTTCTCTTTTTTGGTTGGGTCTTTTTCTGGTTTTGGTATCAGTGTAATACTTTTCTCCAGGAATGAGCCAGGGAGAATTGCTTCCCTTTCTATTTCATTAAACAGTTTGAGAAGAATTGGCATTAAATCTTCTCTAAATTTCTTGTAGAATTGAGGTGTGAATCCATCAGTCCTGGGCTTTTCTTTGTCAGTAAGTTTTTTATTACATTTTAAATTTCATTGTGTGATATTAGATTCTTCAAGATATTTATATCTTCTTGATTCAGCTTTGGTAATTAATATGTATCTAGGAATCTGTCCATTTCCTCTGTTTTTTCCATCCTATGGGAGTAAAGAATTTCAAAGTATGTATTGATGATCTTCAGAATTTCTACTGGATCTGTAGTGATTTCACCCCTTTCATTCCTCATTGCATGGATTTGAGGTTTTTTCTTTCCTTCTTTTCATAAGGTTGGCTAGGGGTTTATGAGTTTTATTTATTTTTTCAAAGAACCAATTTTTGATTTGTTAATTCCTTGTATTGTTTCCTTAGTTTCAATTGCATTAATTTCTGCTCTAATCTTTATAATTTCCTCCCTTCTTCAGACAGTGAGCTTAACTTGCTCTTCTTTTTCTAGAAGTTTGAGATGCAGCATAAGGTTGTTTATTTGTATATGTCTGTTTTCCTGACATGGGAATCCTCTGCTCTGAATTTCCCTCTGTGGACTGCTTTCATTGAGTCCCACAGTTCCTGGTAGTTTGCATCTGCATTTTTGTTTAATTGTAAATATTATTTAATTTCTTCTTCAATTTTTTCTGTGACCCATTGGTTGTTCCGGAGGATGTTATTTAATTTCCATGTGTTTATGGAATTTTTGCAATTTCTTTTGTCATTAATTTCCAGTTTCATTGCACTATGGTCTGATAACATGCATGGGACAATTTCAATTATTTTGCATTTACTTAAGCATGTTCTGTGTCCTAATATGTGGTCTGCTTTACAGAATGTCCTGTGTGCAGCTGAGAAGAATGTGTATTCTAACGTTATTGGGTGGAATACTCTGTACAGGTCTACTAAATCCATTTGTTCACATGTTTGCTTTAGTTCTGTTATTTCTTTGCTGATTTTTTTGTCTAGTAGATTTATCTCTCTGTCACAGTGGGGTGTTAAAATCCCGTTACACTTGTGTTATTACTTACTTGATTTTTCAGGTCTGTTAAAATTTATCTTATATACTTGGGAGGTCCTGCATTTGGTGCATAGATATTTATGATTGTTATCTCTTCCTCTTGTGTTTTCCCCTGACAAGAATGTAATGACCTTCTTTACCTCTTTTGATAATTGTTGCTTTAAAGTTCACATTGTCTGCAAACCTAATAGCTACAACCGCTTTTGTGTGAGTTCCTGTTGCATGGTGTATTGTTTTCCATCCTATGACTTTCAGTCTATGAATTTCCTTTTGAGTTAAATGTGTTTCTTTTATACAGCATATTGTTGGATTTTGTTTCTTAATCCACTTTACCAGTCTGTTTCTTTTGATTGGTGAATCGAGGCTGTTTACATTAATGATTATTACTGATATGTATTGACTTATTTCTGTCATGTTATTTTCCCACTCTTGGTTCTTTATTTTCACTCTCTGTTTAATTGTTTACCTTGCTTGGTAGTTCTTGTCTGTTCTTGAGATTGTGGTCATTTTTATCTCTTTGTAGAATATCTTTCAGTACTCATTGTAAGATTGGTTTGGTGCTCATGAATTTCTTCAGCTGATCTTTGTCAAGGAAGTATTTTATTTCTCCATCAACTTTGAAAGAGTTTTTCAGGATACAGAAATCTGGGTTAGAAGTTGTTTTCTTTCAGGACCTGACATACTTCACTCTAAGCTCTTCTTAACTTAATGGTTTGTGTTGAGAAGTGTGTGGTGATTCTGATGGGCTTTTCTTCACAGGATATCTGTTTCTTTTTCTCTAACAGCTTTTAATATTCTGTTCTTCCATTGAATGTCTGGGATCTATATTATTATGTGTCTGGGTGTATTTTGATTATGGCTAATTAGGGTTCTATATGCCTCACTTATGTGTATATAAGATTTTTGTCCCATGCTTGGGAAATTTTCTGTTATTACTTCTGCAAGTAGTCTTTTTACGTCATTCATGTTTCCTCCCGCTCTTTTGTTAACACCTATCAGCCTTATATTGTTTTTCTTTGCCTCATCCTGGAGCTGTTGAATTGTTATTTGCTGTTCCTTTGTTATTTTTAAGAGATCTTTTCTTTAATAATCATGAGCTGCAATGCTGTCTTCAGGGTCTTAAAGTCTCTCTTTGGTTTCATTCAAGTGTTTTTTTCCAGCTTTCAGTTGAAGTTTTGATTTCTTTTTTTTTTTTTTCCCCCCTCTGGTACCAGGAACCAAACTCACGACCTTGCGCTTGCCAGGCAGGCGCTTTTGCCGCTGAGCTAAATCCCCAGCCCCTTGATTTCTTGAATGTCTCTTAGAATCTGTTTCTTACATTCATATTGTTTCATATATTGTTCATTTAAAATTGCCATCATTTTTCTGTGCTCCAGTATTTTTTATCTTTGTCTTTTTATATGCTGAGCAATTCTTTCATTATGGTTGTCTTTTTCTCTTAACCTGAGCAATTATTTCTGATCTGATTTCCTCTATAGCTTAATCTAATTGGTTCTTTTTTTTCAGTTGCTATCATTTCAGAGATTTAAGGTGTGTGACTTCCATTTTCTTCCATGTTGATATTTCCTGGACTTGTTCTGAGTGGGGTGGAGGACAGAGATTTCATTTTGCTTCTTCTTTTTGTCATTTTCAGATCTCCCTAGGTTTCTGGGGATTCAGGGTCATTCCTGAGATGGTGTTGAGAGGTGGAGTGCTGGGTTTTGGGCTCCCAGAAAGTCAACTGAAGCTTCCTAGAACACAGGGTCTTTCCCACGATGGAAGCAGTGGGTAGAGCAAGGGGTCCCTCGCTAGCGGACTCTCACCAAGTTTTCCCAAGCCCAAAACACCCTCCTTTAATGGCAGGAGGGGGCAGAACTAGAGGACCCAGGCACCCAGACAGTTTGCTGAGACTTCCCAAGTCCAAGGCACCTTCTCCCAGTGGTGGAGGGGGCAGAACCAGGCCTATTTATTTTTTAATGTGGTGAAGAATGTTAGAGGATACATTTTCACTAAAGTGTTTCATCTCATTGCTAACAAGAAATGTTATCAAATGCACATTGCATTTTCCTCTAAGTAGTCTCTGCTTCACCATTACTGCAGGCAAGATGTGAGGTTAGAAGGCCAAACATGACTTCACGTTTCCTCTGCTAATGTAGACCTCTGAGGAAGATGAAGCAGATGTTTCCAAACAGTTAAGGTTTAGAGCTTTGATACAGACAAAATGCAGTTACTAGCTTGCTTCATCTTCACACCCAGTAATTTGTCTTTGAAACCATGGGTGATCTTTCTCAAGTGGAATGCTTTTAAAACAATACATTGGGTGGTGACTCAGAAAGAATTTTTAAAAATTGATGGCAATATTGTCAATTACTTTATGAAGAAAACAAACTCATTGACTTTCCCATGTTGTAGGAGAGTCTGCTAAATCTTTATGCTTTTCTGTTCAAAGATCATGAGCTGGCATATGGCATGTTTTGTTGGGATGTTGTCTTGGGGATAAGGTACCAATGGTCATGGTCAAGACAGTTAAATTTCCCATTCCTCAATGAATCAAACCACTGGCAAATTAAAGAAACTCCTCAGACTATGACTTGATTATGCCCATTAGGTAGTTTGACTCAGGGAAATAAGGTGAAACAGGAACTTAAGATGAAAACTTTCAATGTGAACTAACGTGTTGACTGATTTGTTGTTTAAACGAAAGGGAAACATGGAAGGAACAGAGAGTTGTTCAACTTAGTCCAGCAGAACACAAAACACAAATTATAAATACCCTTACTTCTTTAAGAAAATAAAGTTTGATGTAACTGAATTATTGATTGGGTCAATAAAATTGATTTTATGAAAATTATTTTGTATTTGACAGGTTACTTTAGGAAATATTGATATAATTGGATAGACACATATTTTAAAGGTAAATGGAGGAATCTGTTGTAAGATGTAATTAATTTTTATAAAAATAAGTGATCTGTACATCACAAGAATAATTGATAAACAAAAGACACCTGGTCATATACATTATGGTCACTGAAATGACAGTCTAGCTGGTGATGGCCAGCGATTTAGAGCCTTCAATGATACAAACAGCTCACTGTGGTCTGCATGGCATAGGTTCGTCACCACTGTAATCTGGGCAAATGCAGCACTCAGGAGTACCCAGAGTGACCCAGTGTTGTGGCAAGCCTGTATGCCAAGAGGGCATGGGTTGATCCAGGGTGATGTTTAAAGACCCAGCAAGTGAGGTCAACTGTGTCACTGAAAACAATTGTTACTAGGAATCTCAAGGAGAGAAATCAACGTCCAGGAAGTGCACTTCCAACAGTAAGGAAGGGCTCCAAGTTTTAGAAGAGCTAGACTACTTGAAAGCCATCAAAGCAAAAACTTAAACAGGGAATGAATTACCAAACGAGTAGTGACCTCGTTTCACCAAAAAGAGGGAGTCTTCTTTGGATTAGTCAGTTCGCAAACATTTATTGACTATTGTATAAGTGACTGATATACTAAGTTCTAGGGTACAAAGGAAATAGGATTTACTTACTGTCCTTTAATTGCTCAAATTAGACCTGGGACATGAGTGTAAGAGTTAACTAGGAGGAAGTGTCAGGATGATAAATGCTAAAATAGAATTGGCATTACTTACAGCTTTTCTATCATATGTCAGGATTAGATGTAGAGATGACAAATTAGAGATGGAATTTCCACATGAGGATCAAGTAGTGTATATGTATGAGAAAAGGAAGGCTGTGGAGGTGAACAAGAGTCAGGGTTAGTTATTACTGAGACGATGTTTGCAGGAGTAGATGGACGAGTTTTTCTCGGTCTTGGCTGATAGTATATTTTCTTCCTCTAGATCCCATCATCTCTTGAAATAACCAGATGAAGACCTACAAAGTTGGAGTTCTCATTTATTCTCAGCAAATAATGAACTTTACATATTTAATTCATCTGACAAAGATGGAGAAAATTTGTTGAAAGTAATATAATCCTGTTGAGGTTGAGGAGACCCTGTCCCAGAAAAAGCCGCTAAACCAGGTTTGCTCTCAATTTGTTTATTTCTCTCACAAGGGGAATCTTACTTTACTTACATTCCAAGGGATAATTTAGAAATTAGTACTCATATGTGATTTCTGTCTATATTTCTTTACTATAGCTTATACTAATTTTGAGCATGCAACCAAAAGAAGCATGTTATTTCACATGCTACAGAACAGGATAGAAAACAATGTAACAGATACAAGCAAATTCATTTTTTCTAGTCTGCCAAGTATTAAGCCTGGCCCATTATTAAAGAATCTATTAAGAAGTGTGCAAGGGTAGCAGTCAAATTGCTGTTGTTTAGGATGGAAAGTTCCCCTGAAGGCTCACGTGTTCAGAGTGGAGCTCTTGAAGGTGACTGGCTCAGGGCGGGTGCTGCTTTTATCAATGGACTAATCCACTAATGAGTTCCTAGCCAAATGTGCTGTTGGGCTCTGGGAATGTTTTGGAGGAGCTGGGTCACTGGGGGTGATCTGAAAGTCTGTATTCCTGTTCCCTATCCCTTTTTCTCTGTGTTTCCTGATGCCATGAGCTAAGCTGCTGTCCTCTGCTATTGGCTTTGGCCATGACGTTTCTGCCTTGGAACCAACCATTCATGGAGTGAAACCTCGAAACTTTGATCCAAAATAAACCTTTTCTCATTATCTTCCAGTGTTTGGTATCTGTGACAAAAAGCTGACTAATATACCGTCTGAGCCTTGGAATTAGGAAACTTCTCCTTCTTGTGGTGCAATCTTAGCTGAACCTCTCAATGGTTGTCTACTTGTTTCCTTAACTGTAGAGTGTCACGGTCATGTACATGGTACAAGTGTAACATGAAATGATGATGGCATGTGTACGATTGCTTCACATTAGAGTCTATGGCTCTTCCAAGTATCATTTCACCTCCTCATTCCCACATGATCCCTTATTTATCCTCCTTGTTAACAACATGAAAGAACATTCGATGGGGGGCCTCTTGTTCAGAAATCTTTTCTTACATTTGCATTCAGAAATACTTTTGTTGTCTTCTGCTACGTAGGAAACAGTGAGGATGTAAACCAGCTCTCTGTTTCCTTCATGATCCATGGAGAAGAGCTGCCTGCCATTTTTCTGGAGCATATGGCTTTGATTTTATATAAAGTTTAATAGTATATAAGTTTCTCTCTCTATTTTCTTGTAATTTGGATTGATCAGAGAAAGGTGGTTTTTATGTAGGATATCTTAATTTATAGTTAACAAGCCATGGTGGGACTCCTATGCTGAAATTATTACTCCTGTCAGAAACATAGGAAGTGTAAAGTGTAGAGTGATATAAGTTTAGTAACTGAGGAAATAATGAGATATTCTCAGCCAAAATTTCTCAAGGGCATACTGCTTCGATTATACATTTATTGTTCTATTTTTCTTGTAAGCATCTAAAGTAGATTGCACTTCTGTTATCACATTAAATATATGTTATGAACAAAGACCAATAATATTTATTCAAAACCATAATTATGTATCATAGATTTTAAATATTACCAATATTGCTAGCTCTATTATAGATAAGTAATCAAAGTTCAGAAAAGATAAGTAAATTCACCACGTCAAACTACTAGCATTTTTCTCCTCAGGATTCATGTCCTGGTCTGCTTTACTTTATAAAAATGCAAATTTTACAATGCCTTGAGGCAAACTTCAAATTACAACTTCAAAAATTGCTTGCCAGAAGAGAGTCAAGTTTGCTTGCCTTAAATGTACATATTTTGAATGAGGAGAGATATTTTTGTCTCCTGGCTTGGCACATACTTGGGTCTCAATAAATATAGAATAAACAAGGAAATGAATCCTAGTGGCACTAGGACAGAGCTTTGTGTGTATTTCAGAAAGGCACAGGGGAGCTTTACGGAGGTGTGTGCAGTTGTGGCTGCCTCTGAGTTGACAATGATTGTTTCTGAGTCCTGTGTGGGAGGAGGTGGTTTCCCACAGGAAAAGTGCTGGGTAGTAAAGCCACAGAGATTTGTTGATATATTTGCTTGACATATCTTATGGTCATGTAGGAAGTTATTTTGTGGTTCAATCAATAAGATATTTCCAAGCTGCTTCACCACTTCCCACTGCCACCTCTTCCACTGGAGTGAAGACTTCCTGTTTTGTAGCAAGTGCAATTATGCCTTCACCATCAACCACCAACCTGAGGACTGCATTCACTGCATCCCATAGATTCCGGTAAGTTGTATTTACATTTTCATTTGTTTGTAGGTATTTTTTAATTTCCTCTTTAATTTCTTCTGTTACCCATTGGTTGTTCAGGAGGTTGTTATTTAATTTCCAAGTGTTTATGGAGTTTTTGGAGTTCCTTTTGTCATTAATTTTCAATTTTATTGCACTGTGGTCAGATAATATGCATTGGATAATTTGAGTGATAGACTTGAGTCTATTTTCTGTCTTTGACAGGTGGCAAGCCAATTTTTCCAGGACCATTTTTAAAGAGGCTGTCATTCTTCCAGTGAGTTTGCTTGGCCCCTTTATGAAAGATTAGGTGGCTGAGTGTGTTTGTAGTTGGGGCTGTTCCAGTCTGTTCCATTGATCCTCACATCTATTTCTTAGCCACGACCAGGTTGATTTTATGACAGTAGCTTTGTAGTATAATTTCAGGTCAGGGATTGTGATTCCACCTGACTTGTCCTTGTTGCCCAGGATTGCTTTTGCTATTTTGGGTCTGTTCTGGCTCCAGATGATTTTAGGAATGTTTTTTTCTAGATCTGAGTTATGCTAATGGTAGTTTAATGGGAATTGCATTCAATCTGCACAACAATTTTGGAAGTATGCCCATTTTCACAATGTTGGTTCTTCCTATCCATGAGCATGGAATATTTTTCCATTTACTGAAAACCTCTTTGATCTCTTTTTTCAGAGTACTATAGTTTTCATTGAATGGATCGTTTACTTCTTTTGTTAGATTGATTCCTAAGTATTTCAATTTCTTGGATGCTATTGTGAAAGATATGGTTTCCTTTATTTCTCTC